GGGCTGCGCTGACGCCCCCACCCCAAATCAGGGCCCTTTCCCACGCTACGCTGTGATCTCCCGGCACAGGTACCCGGGCTCTGCAGGCACACAGCGGGGTACGGCGCACCGCGGGCTCTGGCAGGGATTTCGTGCTCTGTTTTAGTTTGCTGATCCTCCCAACGCCGCCTCCCTTCGTGCTCTGAGCCTCCCTGATCCCAGCTTTGTCAAACAGCGGCCACGCTCTGCGCTCGGGGGCCGCTTCGCAGCAGGATGCACAAAGGGAGCTTCGCAGCAGCAAGGAGCACAAAGCAGAATTGCAAAAATCAGACAGGAGGCATTTTACAGCCCCTAAGACCTTGCCAAACTGCAGTCCCACCCCATTGAAGCTTCTGGCCCATCCAACAGTCCCAGCAGCATCCAGTGCCTCTGCAGAGCGCGAGCAGCCCCTGTGCATTGCACAACACCAGGAGCTGGGCATCGCACACACAGGACAAACTGGTTTGCTCTCCCAGTTGTACTGGAGCTGAAGGCAGGCGTTCCCCAGAGCAGGGCTGCTTGGGCCCAGCAGCGATGGGGTGCTGCAGCACGGGCTGTGATGTGCCCCAGTCCAAGCTCCTCTCACTCCGTGTTTATGTGATCTCAGCACAATGTATAGCTGCAGCTGAGCAGGGCTTCGTGCTCTCTCAGGAAGCGGAGGAAGAATGGGGCTATAATAAGAGCAGGAGGACAATGAGAGCTGGCGGCGTGCAGGGGCAGCCCAGCACCCGTGTGGCCAGTGCCACCATGGAAACTGGCTCCTGGCCCTGGCCACCCACCTGGGGCTCAGCTCACCCATCCCCTCTGCAAGGGGCAAAGGTGTTTTCACAGCTCCCAAAGGACAGCAGGGCCTCCTGCAAGCCTGGGTGGCAGCTTGGTGTCTGCTTTTGGGAGATGGACATCACCACCTCCTGATGGACAGTGACCCTGGCTCTGCTCCCCACCAGGAACACCCCCTTTCTGTCCCCCCTGCTGGAACAAAGAGTGGGGAGGCCCAGCACAGGCACTGGCCACCGGTGGGGTCCAACAGGTTCAGCCCCTGGGCCAAGGATCTGGGAGGACTCGGGTCCATCTCGACCCAGAGCACACAGGGTGATGCTCTCCCACTGACCCAATGATGGATCCCAGCCTGAACACATAAAATCCGTCCCAAAGCACACAAGGGATGGCTGAGCCTTTTCCTTAGCACTGTCTTTATTTTTACAGGTTAACACTAGGCATGGAGGACACCCAAACACGATGACAAAAGGCCTGTTTGCCTGAGCCCACACACCAGACCCGGTTCACGTTGCTACACAGACCAAAAAAAACAAATGGGGAAAGACTACAAGGAACACGCAGAACTTCAGTCTCCTGGGAGAGAGGGACGGGACCAGCTTGACAAATGCAGCTGCCACATGGGAGAAGGAAGCCTTGAAGGCTTCCCAGAGCCAAGAGGGAGAGAGTAACCTGAAACGTGGGGCTGAGTCCCTCCAGAGGCATCTTGGAGCGAGCAGGCTGGGGAGGACACTATGCGTTATGCCTACCTAGGTGGCAAGATTGCAGGTTAAGGGCCTATGCTTTACCGCTGGGAATAGCTCACATGGTGGGGACCCCCTTAAGCTGAGGGGGGAGCCCAGGGGCCGGCTGCACGTAACCCATCAGCTGCCAAGCGTCTGCACTGCGAGGAAAGCCCCATCTCTGCCATTCGGCGCCACCGGGGTCAGGAGAACCCCACACACACCACGCTCCCACCGCACGACCCCTCTCGTCCTCCTTCATGAGCTCCTCTTCAGCCTCAGGGCATTGTCCAGGGCGACCAGCTGGCGCAAGAAACCCCGGTTGGGGATGATGCCGCGGTGGTCCTTGACCGTCTTTATGGCTTCGACGAGGGGCATGTGGTGGCGGATCATGAGGTAGGCGAGGACCAAGGTGGCCGACCTGCTCACCCCCACAGCACAGTGCACCAGGATCCTTCCTGCGGGTGAAACACGGGGGCTGTGTCACAGCAGACCAAAATATCCCAATTCAAAAGAAATACAAATAAAAATATAATAAATATCCCAATTAGAAAATAGCAAGGCCCCAACTGTTTGCCATGGGGCATCCTGGAGCTGTGGCTCGGGTGTGCAGCCTCTGGGGTTAGATGTAGGGCCCCAGTTATAACGAATGTGGCACACTGAGGTACCCCTCATGGCAAAGGGTATCAGTGTATCACAATCCCCCAAAAAAGACTGAACAGGACCAGGCACAGTTCAGGACACAGGTTTGGGCAGTGCTCTCATCCAGCCTGTTCCCTCTTTGGAGGAGCTGACCCAGTGACAGGACACACCATCCCAGGCTAGAAACACCTTTGCTTTCAGGGATGCTTAGGCTATAGGATGTCAATCCAGCTTCCACCTCCCCAGGGGAGTTTCTTCCCCATTTCTCTCCCAGTGATCTTTCCCACCAACCTTCATTCAGCGCTTGGTGGATGTAGTCAGCCGCAGGATAAAAGTAGGGGCTCATGTCAAAGGAGGGCGAGTCGTGGGCCTCGATGCCCAGGTAGCGGATGCCCGTGCCCTCGTAGTACTCAGCACCCCCCCTCCACTTGCTGTGCGAGGCGTTGAGGATGTGGGTGATGCGCAGGTGAGCCAGCTCGCGCCGGTTGGCCGCTATATCTCTGTGAGAGGAAGGGACAGTTAAAGAACTGGTTAATTTAAAGTTAAAGAAGTTAACGAAATGGTTCCAAGGACAGTGTAAGAGCTGGACGTTTACAGCTGAGAAAGCCAGATGCAAAGCAAAAATGCCAGACTCTCAAGATATACCCTGAACCCACCCCAGTTCTTGTCCCCTCCCGATACGTACTGGTCTCCCAGGTAGAGTCCTGGCCAGACCTCATCAGCATGGTTACAGGCCGTCTTTCCCGTGTACAGCAGCCTTTCCAGCTCGAAGACGCTGAGGATGGGGTGGCTGCTGCGCTCTTCCCGCGAGCCCCGGCTCGGTGACCTGGTGCCATTCCTGGAGAACCTGGACAGGAAAGCCATGGGAGCTGCCGAGACCCACAAGGCATACCTGTGGGGTCGTGAAGGCCGGAGAGTGGCCTGGAGGTCGCTTCTGCTGCTGCTGCCACCCACGGTCCTGCGATGGAAGCAGTGGAGATGCCATTAGAAGAACTGGGGGAGCGCTCACTCCATCCCTGTTGTAGAAACACTGGCCCAAAGCAGCCAATTCTCACCTTCCCGGTGAGGGGGCTGTGTCAGGTCAGCTTCCCAGCGGTTCCCGGTGTGAGACAGAGCATCGCCTACGCTCCCTTCCAAGCAGCAATAGCACGGGAGAGGTTTCTGGTGCCAGGGCTGGGGAGGGAAGCGGGAGCGGCAGCCAAATTGCTGAGTCTCCACAGGCTGAGGTTTTGCTCCAGCCTCACGACTTTGGGCTGAGGCCACATTGGCAAGAGATGTTTTACACGGGCCCACCTTCCTTCTGAGCTGGCTCTGGGGCTTTGCCTGCCAGCGGGACAGCGCCAGCTCGAGAACCGACGCTGCCAACCTGCGATCAGAGGCAGTGAAAGGCGGCCAGGTCTGGGCAAGGCACCAGGAGTGGGGAGGAGAAACCCCCAAACAGGTGGAGGGTTCCATATGGCTCCACGCAGAGGCTGGCCATCGGGGGGGGAGAGGCAGGATTAACCCCTCCGAGTCCAGCAGTCCTGCCGCTGCATTTCAACATCGAGGACCGCTTTGGGGTGGGAAGAGTTAACTTCAGGGGATGAGAAAGCTCGTTTTACAAAGCTGCTCCCCTAGGACGGAGCTCTGCTCTCAAACCTTTAGATCACAGCGATACTCGTCACACATCTGCGAGAAAGCTCCGGGGGGAGAGGCAGGATTAACCCCTCCGAGTCCAGCAGTCCTGCCGCTGCATTTCAACATCGAGGACCGCTTTGGGGTGGGAAGAGTTAACTTCAGGGGATGAGAAAGCTCGTTTTACAAAGCTGCTCCCCTAGGACGGAGCTCTGCTCTCAAACCTTTAGATCACAGCGATACTCGTCACACATCTGCGAGAAAGCTCCCTGGACAGCCGTACCCAGGCGGAGCAGCCCAGGCCCTGCAGCCAGACGTGCAGCCTTTATTTTCACTCGTTTGCTGCTGCTCCGCTGACAGAAACCTCCACACATGGGAACACCACCACGCCGCTGCCCTGAGCTGCCCTGGGAGGCGTCCAAAGCACAGCCCAGCACTGCCCATGGGCTCTGTGGAGCCCAGCGACCTTGGGCTGGATGGCAGCACGTCTGTCTGCTCTGACATCTTGCCTCAGGCGCCGGCCGGCAGCCAAGGGTGCAGAAGGAAGAAGCCTCCAGCCATTTCTTGGCAATGTGCAGAGCAGGAAAACATGGCAAGGGCATGGGGGAGCTCAGAGGGAGACTCAGGGCTGTCTCGTTCCCTGCTCCAAGGGGGTATTTCAGACCCTGGCTGCCACCCCGGGGTGCTGCACAGGAGAGGTGAGCCCTGCACCGAGCACACCCCGCTGCCCCAGAGCTCCCCCCCAGGCTTCCCCTGCCCTGACCGATTTTGGACTCCTTCAGGCTGGGATTTCAGGCTTGGCAAACGGCACCTGGAAAAGGCTCGGCCGTGTGCCGGGGCCCTTAAACCTTGGGTGACCTTGGCTGCAGCACAGCCACATGCCACCAGCCCCGGGCAATGCTAAGAAACAAACAGCAGAAGGGGCTGAAAAAAGCAACTAAATCATCGGTATAAGGCTGTAACTAGCCAAATAGTCGTCTTATTGCTACAGCTGGCTGGTGAAATAGTGACCCACACCTATCCTGGGACAGAGTTCTAGAAACCCAAGGCCCAAAGCTGGCCTCTAACATCCCAGCCCTAACACGCCACCATGCCAGCCCCCCCAAAGTGCTGCACGCGAACAGAAACTGCCCCCCATGGCAGACGTCAGAGCAGACCCCAAAGCACTCCCAGCACCCAAAACTCTCACAGGCACCACCTGTACCTCCCCCTCTTGGCAGCCAAACCCAGGGGCTCACACCCCGCTCCCCCCATGGCTGCCTCCAGAGCCCCTCTGCCCGTCGTGCCATGCTGGGAAGGGAGGGAGGGGAGAAGCAGCCGGAGCCTGCCCGGACGCACAGAGCCCGCTCTAAAGAGGCATCGCCGCAGCAGCGCAGGCTGCTCAGCCCCGCGCACCCCGCGGAGACAGACAGACAGACAGACAGACACGGGAGGGAGGAGACGCCCACCCCTTTACTCTACCTTAGCGAGAGCTGGGATTTCTGGGCTCCAAGCGGGCGTTGGACTCAGATCCAGTCGGCCATGTCTTCCTGCTGCCGCCGCCGCTGTGCAAAGGCTGATGTCTGAACATCTATTTTAAGCCATGACATGTCCAGAGGCAGGTTTGTTTAGATCACGCCGTGCATGGATGGGTGAGGGAGGAACGAGGGAGACGGCCACAGATGCAGAGATCGCATGCAGGCGTGCACAGGCACACACAGCCGTGCCCGTTACTACGCAGACACAAAAACAACACCAACAATAACACCCAAATTCTCCTGCCAGCTTTTCTCTCACTCCTCCTCCAGCAAAGCAAAAGCCACAGGCGGGCAGGGGAGAGAAGAAAAAGCCGATAAAGTGGTGCTGATGACATGATTACCCGTATCATAAATCTGTAGCTGTCTCTAGAGGATGCTCCTTCGTTTCTTCTTTAGAGTTGACCTTGTCCTCCCCCCTCGCTAGGGTCAATTTGGCAGAGCCAGGGCTTGGTGACATTTTCTTCATTTGCTAAGAAAATAAGCCTGGGGGGGAATGATGTATGTGGTGAGATGACAAATTATTTACAAATTCATGTCAAAGTCAGGGGGAAAAAAAAAAGAAAGAAAAAGGAGGAAATTCAAAAGATTGAAGCTTTTTGCTTTGACATTTTCTAAATGACAGCCTTCATTTCAGAAGTGCTGCAATATTTCAGTTAAACGTTTCCCAGGCAGAATATTCCCTTCCCTTTGAAGTGCTGGCTTTCGGCTTAAAAGTTTGACTCCAATCAGAAAGTAGGAGTGTGGTGGGGAAAACAGCCTGGGGAAGAGTCGAAACACGCTGCTCCAGGCCAAACCACGCATCCCGAGAAGATTCATGGCACTCTCTTCTCCACTCCTATTTGATGAAAAGGCAGAAAACATCCTGGTTTGTTTTCAGCTGAGTTTTGTCATCCCAGGATGCAGCTCCAAGGCTGAACTCAGCATCACTGGGTACCCAGCCCGTCCCACCTGCGCACACAGGAGCTGTGCTGCGGGTTAACAGCACAAATGGGTACGAAATGACTTTCAACTTGCGTTTCCGATCTCTCAGCTTCCCCATGAAGTTCTGGATACAGCTTCAGCCCAGGAAGCTGCTAACACCCCCAGGATATGCTCAGGAAGGGCTTTGGGCTGTGCCCTGCTCTTCATTCCCCTTACCTGCAGAAAGGTTGAGCTTTCCACTTCTGCCTGGCATCACAAAAGAGGGGTCGAGTGACCTAAAAGGAAACTTGCACCATCACAGCTCTGCGAGACCCCTTCACCACGCACAGGCAGAGGCCCTCTCCCTCCCCTGCATCAAGAATTACGTTCCCAGCAGCCTGTGAAATGTGCTTCTAAACAGCGGTGCCCACAACCCCCATCACAAAAGGTTAAATCTGAATTTAAAACAACGACATGAAATAAAATTAGGTGGATAAATGTTTTGGCAGAGCATTGCCTGCAGGGAACTTGCTGGTCATTTAAGCAGAGGATTAGTAGTTGTTATGTTTTTATTCCAATAATAATACTGGAATTGCTTTGTAAAGCAGCCAGAAGTCCCCAACAAAGCCAGTGACTGCTTCTCAGATAATGAAATCTCAGATGCTTTGAAATGCCTGGGCAGCCGCATCAAGGAAAAGTGTCAGCAATCTGTCTTGTTATAAGGGAAGGTTCTCAGACACAAACCAGACCTCCCTGCCTCCCCTCCCCTCCTTGTCCTTCCATAACCATCAGTGCTGCAGCAGACACTGAGTCACTCCTTGCTCCCTGGTAGGATTTATCATCGCTTCTGAAGGCCCTGTCCTTGAAGACGAGAGGCCACTGGAATGGGTCTGCAGTTTTTTGGGGGGCACAGACACCGTTTGGGGTTTGCTGTGACATCTGTCTTGCCTCAGTTTCCCCACCTCCTTCCAATCACCCCCAGGTCAGAGTCCTCTCTCACCTGTTTTGCCTTGAAGAAGCTTAAACCGCTCTGAGAACCAATCACCAAGGCACCGGGAAAGAATTTGAAGACAACCCCCAAAACCCCTCTCCTCCTGGCAGTGACTCAAAGCTGCTCCCCCAGGGAAGCACCCAGCTGCAGGACGGGGCACAAAGGTGCCCTGAAACCACAATTTCCTGCAAGCTTTTCCTTTTTTTTTTTAACTGGGAAGGATCATTTGGTCCTTGGCAGATAAAGATGATGTGAGATCACAGCTATGGCCATGGGCATCACCGCAGAGAGCACCCACAGGGCTGGGTGGTTTAAGGCCAGCGCTGGGAGGTTTCCTCCATCCCCTGAGTGGCAGCCTGGCCTGCTGCGGTTACACGGGGGTGGGAGGCTGGCACAGGCAGCTGCGATGTCCCCGCATCTCAGCCATTGTCACAAAGTGCTGTGCACAGCAGGCCCGCGGCAGCGGGGATGGAGCAGCTGTTCTCAGCTCAATTAGGGACCAAATCGGCTCCCGGCAGAGCAAGCAGGGCACCCGCTGCTCCCAGCGCTTCCCGCTCCTCCCAGGCTGGGCTTGGAGCAGGGAAGGATCGGGGCTGGGGTCTGCCAGACCCAGGAGTGAGCAAAAATAAAGGGCTGCTCGGAAAAAATGCACAGATCCAACCACTGGAGGCTGCTCTGGTTATACATAAATCACGGCTGCGCGCACTGTCAGAGGCAGAAAACTCAACGCAAGGAAATAAAGGGCAGGGGGTTAGAGAGTTTCAGAGCTGCGATTTCCTGGCTTTCTACTCCCCACGCATGCAAATTGACCACGGTCTTCACAGCTCTGTTTTAAAGATCAGAGATCAACCACTTCCCGCACTAAATGCTGCATGTCCAAAAGCCACCTGCGAGGCAGAGGAGCCAGACTTTATTATACTCAGTCATAAACAGAAAGAATATATGTATTTCATCCAACACGTGCCAGTCGATGGACCCGCTGCAGAGGAGGGTGGCAGATGGAGGGAGAGCAGAGGGCACAGAGAGCTGTACCATAACAGGGTAAAATTGAGCCTCCTGTAAGTTAACAGGCAGGGTAAGAAGGTGGCAGAGCAGCATTACAGCCGCAGACTGAAAGGGCTTTGAACGCGTGCGTTGTGCACTGTTGAATCCTCTCCCAGCCCCCAAATAAATATCTGCTTCCCTGGAAGAGATGTGATCGAAGGTAATAAACCCTTGGAAGCGGGGATGTGCAAGTAACACAACCCCTCTGCGCCCACTCCAGTAGCAGCAGCCCGAAAGTTAAAGCCCCATCGCTTGGCTGTGCTGATTCATGGCTGGAGGGGGCCACTCGTGTCCTGGCAATGCTATTTGTCATTAAAAGAAAGAAAAAGGGGAAAAGAAAAGGAAGTAACAGGCACCAGAGTCATTGTCCGACAGCTGTAAAACCTGCAGAGCCCCAGACCTGGGTGGAAGCAGCCCTTGTCCAGAGGGAGAAAGGCAGCTGCTTGCTTTGCTGCAAACATGCAGTGTTGATGATTACTTAGTGGGGAGACTCTGGATTGCTCGTGGATGCATTTTGCCTGTCATCCGCTGCCTTGTTAATGTCAGAAGCAGCCTGGGATAGATTTGAGTTGCTACAGCGCACGAAGGGGGAAAAAAAAAACCAAAATCAAAGATAAAAAAACAGCTGAAAAAAACCCCAGTTAGTTGCTGGCAAAAGACGCTGTGAAATCCTGATGCTTCCTGTCTAAATGTTCACTTCAGCTTGTCACATCTTGTTAGCAGAGCAGGCTGGGGCACACTCCTGAAGCTGGTGGGAGGTTTGCTGCCGACCCGAACTCACTGGGTTTCAAGGCTCCGAAGATGTCAAAGGGAAGCGAACTGCCCACACCCTCTGCAAGAGAGCACAGCCGAGACATCCATGATCCCCATTAGCGAGGAGGCTGAGCTACTCCACTTTTAAAAGGCTCAGATGAAGGTCACATCTATCTTGCATCTTCAGAACAGGGCAGATCACACTAGAGAGCATTCCCTCAAAGGCAGAGGGGTGGGAGGATGGTGTGGGTTCATTTGGAGGGCTCTGCTCTGCACCGACCCCACCTGCACGGCGCAGCTCAGACCCACGGCTGTGAAGCCGCACGCTCCCACAGCCCCGACAGCAGAAGCTCCAGTTTCACTCTTG